AATAAATGTATAATGTCGTGGATAGTGCAAATTCACGTCTGTAGTATTGGTAAAAGGCACGTATCTGCACCAAACCAAATTTCACAGAAGACGGACTTAACGTTATTAATTTGTTATTTCAATGGCTACGACTTTCATTTTTGTACAGAAAGCACTAATTCATGTTGTCTACGGACTGATGACAGTAGAGTCCCTGTAAATCACGCTAATTTGGTTGCTGATTGTTATTGTATCATAAACAAAGACTGCGTTTACATTTAATTTATTTCTTCTCCGGTACCTGTACCTATTCCATAGAAATAACGGATCGGATATCAGAAATAAAATAAATATTACTTATACACAAATCATGGGAGTCCTTTATTTTAAAAACTCAATTGTTATGTTTTTTTAAATCCGTAATATTATGCAAGGCTGTATAAGAGAGAACCTTTGCAAAAAAAATCTATCGACTTTACCTCATCCCTGTGAAAACATCAAATGAAGTGTCACAGGGATCATACTAGAAAATTTGTAGTATAGCGAACGTATCGTACGCGTACTTGAAGTGAATAAGCGTTGTTTCATTAAGCTATTCCTGTACTAAGTAGCGTAGACGTCACAGGCACAAAAAAACTAATTTACGCGAATTAAGTGGGAAAAATATAGTACCATTTCCAATATGTAACCAAGCATAGAAACTTGCATTATTTATGTGACTTTCAAAAAGTAATGTTGCCATGGTAACGTGTTTGGTTCAGTTCACAGGGAATTCACTAAAACAGAATCAGTCAAAAAGAAATGTTAAAGACGTTTGGCTATTGATCGCTAGACAAAAATTCCTTTTTCATTTAGTCTCTACTAGAGACGTGGGCCGACTTTTCCACGTCACCGCCGCCAATGAATTTGACAGACGTAAAAATCTATTTCATTTTAATAAATATCTATACTTCGTTTTTAATTATTTAGAGCGTTTGTGCACTACGTCCGATCCGTATCAGTTCCGAATCCGAATAATGACGCTCCGCAATGTCACAGGGATCATTTTATCTCTATGTAGGTGTATATTCGTATTTTCTTGGATTCAAATAGGACTAAGTGCACAAGCGACATCTGAAGCGGGTCAGAGTTTTCTAGATTTATATGGTCTTGGATTCGGAACGAATACGAAGCGGATGCAGTGATGTGCCTATATTAATTTCGTACAATTAAAATGACGTACCTACATCCTATTCCTACCAGATTGGAATAAAACACACATCGACATCTAAACACAGACATAAACACCACACACCCACATCATATAATAAAACAAATATGGTAACTCCATACAAACGTAGCAGCGTGGGTTGTATGTGTACACGCCCGTCACGCGCCGTAAACGGACGTACTTATTTGCATAATAATAAAGGGCGCGTGTGACGACCAGCGCCATGCAAAGCAAGTACATCGCCAGATTATCCGTGTGTGTGCGAGCGCACACACGTACATAGAATGCAATATAAGTTTCCGGGACTGGCCACTTACATAAATAATATTTAAAAAGTTACAACATTTGAAAATAGAACTCTATGGCTATAGAAGACAGTTTGTTTCATCTAACTGTCACTTGTGGCGTCATTTTAGAAATCGGTTGTCTACATCACCGTGGATTTAACTCGTGAAAATTTTCGTAGTATGATTTTCTACGACTTTAAGTGTAATTTAACAGCTCAGCGGAGCTTTGCTCGGCTTCAAACTGCTTTTGGCGATGAAGCACCATGCAAGATGACTATTTATAGCTGGTTTGCAGAATTCAAACGCGGTCGTGTGAATCTCAGTGACGAATTTCGTGATGGTCGCCCGTCCACTGCTACGAACAACAAAAACATCGATGCTGTGCGCCGTATGATCAAAACAGACAGGCATGTGACATACCATGAGATTCAGGCATCTTTAGGCATAGGCATGAGTCAAATACAATCAATACTACACAAACATTTGGGTGTGAAAAAGCTGTGCTCTCGGTGGATCCCACACAATTTGACTGAGGCTCAAAAAACGGATCGCCTCACTTGGTGCAAAGCCATGCTTACCAGATTCAACGAATGGCCGTCAAATTTGGTGTGGGAGATAGTAACAGGTGACGAAATATGGATTTATAGTTACGATCCCAAAACAAAGCAGCAATTGAGCGTATGGGTCTTTCGAGATGAGCCGATTTCAAAATCGGAATATTTTGAGAAACAATAAATTCATTTCTTCTTTATATTTCTTCATTTCTTCTATCTTTATAGTATTTTTTTCTTATTCATTCCGGAAACTGATAGTGCGTCTCACGTACAAGCCGTGCTGCTACGTTTGTATGGAGTTACACCATGCCGATAACCACACCCAGCACATACACCACATACGCATACCACACATACAAAGACACGTTACATAATTATTAATACAAAGATCGAATACTTAGAAAAAATCTTTCGATCCGGCCGGATTCGAGCCGACGTCTTCTAGCAAACCGTGCCAGACACTATGCCAACTAAGCCACGGAACGAACCAGCGGACCTCACGAATTGTACTGTGTGCTTGTTGTCGGATCATTGTATTTGGTTTTCAACGACTTTTTAACCGTAGCGCCATCTATGAGAAATCTACGCTACGGCTAATATAATACAATAAAAATTTTAACACGTTACATAGCTTAAAAATTGTTGTCTTTATTTCTCTGTCGTACGCTTGTATTACTTTTGTTGTGTAAAATGTTTGGCATTGTAATATGTATGTGTAATGTAAATACATTGGAAGACGTAGCGTCTGTCATACAGTTTTGTTGTAAAACTAGTACGGGTATTAATGTTCAATCTCATTTTAAAATATTCCACAAGTAATTATGTTACGTAATGTCAAGATATCATCCAATTCACTTGACCCATTAAAAAATTTATTATTATTTTATGAAGTGGTGAGGTGCACTGGCTATTTCTCCCGCTAGTCGGTGCATAGAATATATAATGGTGCTATGGACCGCCAAACTCCATAGTATCACGCTAAAGTGTAAAAAACGTTAAAAATGGATACAATTATCGTTTTGTACAATGCTTTACTGTTATGAAAACACTAGAAAAATATAATATGCTTCGCCGATTTCACGCCAATCACGCTGTCGACCTAAAGACCACGCCGCAACGGACGACCATTTTACGATAAGCGCACATCTCTAGTCTCTACATATTTCTATAATTCTTTCCTAAATTTTTAAATATATACTTCGAAGATCTGCTGAGCGAGGCAATGAAGTCGCCATTTTTATTTCATCAAAATCTAGCTAGCTACTAAACGTTACCTTATTATCTCTAATTAAAAATCCAACCTTTTACATTTTAATTTCATTGGAATTACATCTAAGTGCCAAGGTCTATTGAAATGAGTTAACGGTTTCCAACAAAAAAAGAATCATCGAAATCGGTTCTCAAACATTCCGATGTTTGTCTTTTTTTGCGTAACATTCACACAAAAAAGGCGAATTGAGAACCCTCCTCTTTTGAAGTCGGTTAAAAATAGATGAACCTTTGGCCACAATCTCTCTGATGGTCTTAAAAAGCCCTGAATTGTAACTCTTCGGAAACAGTGTGTGCCATGCCATCCGTTTGCCGTACCCACGAATATGAAACAAGCAAAACGCGTTCGTGCGAATAGGTGGTAAATCTTCGTTTTGTAACATTTAGAAATACTCAAGGTGTTCCTATTTTCCGCTATTGACATTTCCAGTGAGAACAATCCACTCCTCGACTGAATTTTTATTACATTCCTCGGAAATTCTTTATGATATTGCCGGAGTTATGTTCGAATATAAAACATTCACAGAAATTTATATTCTCCTCCTTTTGCGGGATAGATTATAAACCAAGTTATTTTTAACCCTTGCAGCATTTAAACCAAAAACCAAATTGAACCACTGCATACATTCTAACATTAATATATTTCCAGGTGTATTCCTAATCTGCTGGGCACCATTCTTCACGTGCTCCGTCCTGGACGCGCTGTGCACCAAGTTAGACCTACCGTACTCTCCAGGGGTCACTGCTTTCATCCTAACAACCTGGCTGGGCTACATCAACTCGTTCCTGAACCCTGTCATCTATACAATCTTCAACCCTGAGTTCAGGAAGGCGTTCCGCAAGATATTACATTTCGGCACCTAGCCTTTGGACTTTTACGTCATGTACGATATAACTAAACAGGCGTAAAGCAGCGTTAATTTCGCTCAAAGAACTGTCTTTACTCTATTGTTTTTTTTCTAGGGTTGTGAGTGGCGTACCTTATGTATACAGTACACTTGTCCTGGCTAACTATTGTAACTAACTAGCCTTAAATAATTTTTTCAGCGAAACTTATTCTTCATTTCGCACACATTCACATCTTAAGGTCACCATATACGGGACGATTTTGTCTTCACGATCTGTCTGTTCAGACTGATCGAGACGGCAAATCGGTAGTGTATGTTAATGTCGTTACCGATTAACTTGGGGAGTAGCAACGGATCTATGCGATTATCGTGACGATCGAAACGAGAAATCGTCTATGCCCGGGGGTACCTTGAAGCTAGTCGCTCATTCGGTCAGAGAGTTATGGCATCTTGAAATTAGACACTTTTATAGCGCTGCATTGGCACCACTATGGCGCTGCAGCCGCGTCATTACTAATTTTCATACAATGTTTAAAAGCGCAGTTGCAGCGACTCTGTTGTGACACGCGCGTGACACTTGCAGTAACAATTTATGCAGCTCTTCTACAAGCGTCTAATTTGAAAGCGCCCTTACATTCAAATATAAAAAGGTACAACAAGTATACGATAAGTGCTCGCTTTTGACAGCGCAATAAAATAGGAACGTTTTACGTCACAAATTTCCGATACGGCGAGTAGTGAGGAAACGACAATTATGTGTGTGGGTAAAGATTCAAATGGAACCTTACTATATAAATATATGTATGAGTGAATAATCGTAGAGTGAGGGAGTCACCAAACTATTAACGAGGGATCGTCTTGGTGCGATCGTGTTTAACCACACTTATCGCATTAAGTCGATTCGCCGTTGACACCGCCATCGTCGGCCTGCGTACCTAAAAACGCGAACGGAATCAAAATCAAAAATCAAACCAATCAATCAATTTGTTTTTTAAATTACTTATTATATAGTAATTGTTTCGGACCGATGTCGGAAGGAGAACGAGGAGTAGACCCCCAGATTCGTTGCTGACCTGAGTCGGTGTTCGGACCAACCGATACGAAACGCACCTTTTCGCTCTTACATTTATGGACATAAAGTTTTGTTTGAAGCTTTGTTTGGCTTAATGCGATTCTGCGTTAATAAACAAAAAATTAAAAAATCATTTATTTCAGATGTCTATGATCCATATACTTAAATTATAAAATTAGGCACTTTAAAATAAAAATATAATATAAATTGACATCGAAAAAAATATCAAATTAAATTAAAAGTAAAAGCTAAATCAAAATTAAATATTTGAATCTAAATCACAAGATAAAAAGCATAAAATTAATAAGTGCGGCGACTGGTGTGAAGTTAGACGTGAATAGTCGCCATGTTGCGGAATTTTCAGGAAGTCATTTCTTCAAGTGACATATAAGGTAACAGGATGGCCGAACAAAGACAACATTTTTACAATTCTAAATGAATTTTTTTGCCTAATCGACAATCGCCGTAAGACTTGAGTTCCAAAAATGTGTACATCCGCCATCTTTTTTTTCCTCCAAAAACTGATTGCTTGAGCTCAGTCCAAATTAATCAAGACGTTTCGTATCATTTGTTAATAATAATAAAAAACGAAAGATAATCCTGGCGCCCCAATTGCTTAGTTTCAAACTAACATTACAATCTTCACAAGAAAAATATTGCAACTTTTATAAGAAAAAATATTTCTAATTTGGCTATACGCTATGACGGCTGTTTTGACGTTTGTCCGTTCACCAAGTTTCATATTAATTCATAACTACGTTGAAGGAGCTAAATGCTGTACACTGTTGTCAATAGCGACGTGCAATAAAATTTATGGAATGCATGATTTTATGACACAACTCAGCATTTGTTTTTCGAAATTCGACATTTTTTAAAATGAAATCTAATACGATCGTCACTAATGGGATCGCTGGCCAGCACAACTTCTATCTCTCTAAACTAACGTCAAAACTCAATGCAAAACAAAGCAGTTTCGAATTGAAGATATATTAAGTAAACATTTTTATTTTCGTTTTATTTAAACTTTTTAATCAGCTACCCCTTGCAATACCTACTAGTTACCTATAAATCTAAAAACTTACAGACGCAACTCGCATTTGTTTATATATTTTTCGATATTGAATTGAGATTTCACCTCACTATTATAGTCTGTTAAAATGGCCACCATAGCGTGCCTTTCCATCCTCTAAGAAGGATCCGGAAGGTGCCAGTACTACAGTTGTCATAAACATCAAAACTCATAGACATATTCAATATAATGCTAAAAAGCCGTTACTCATATTTGTTACAATAACGGAAAAATTAACTCGTAAAACGATGCATAAGAAAACGAGAGCTTCAGCTTGTTTTAAACTTTAGTTAAATATAAAACCCTTATGATACATTTAAATTAAAAAAAATAGTAAATGCATTTTTGAATGAAAATCTATTTTGAACTTTTGTAACATACTTGACTTCGGTAACTTTTTTTTATAATACCAAATGACGGAACGAACAAGTCTTGCGATAAATCGTGAGCCTGGTGGTAAGTAACACGTCTATCCATAGCAGTTGCAGAGCCACTTTAACCGAGTAAAAATAATATAACCAGGGAAGACTAATTTACATACAAAGACAACATAGGTAAGGGTGCTGATGAAATCACAGACACATGGGACTTGTCAACTAATGTCTCAGGATGACGGGCGCAGTGGTATTGGCGCTCATATCTTTGCAATTTAAAGCTCTCAGTGTGGCACTGGAACTGTTATGGACAGGCGTGTAGCTTACCATCAGGCGCACGACTTGTTCGTCCCGTTACTTGATGTTATAAAAAAAGATTCAAAAAACCCCCTAAAAAGTTTCTGCGAAATTAAAAGGCTGTAACAAACCCAATTAAAAAAGTACTGACCAGTTCACCAGGCGAATAATTTAAAAGCCTGTGTGAAATTCAGCGTGTAATGTTAACTCTCATATATTTTCGGAATGCAGTGAAATTTCAAAATTGGAGGAGGTATAACTTTTGATTTGATTTTAAAAGTTTTAATTTGATTTTTAATTAAAGTTAGGAAACTGACATTTAGTAGGCTGTTAGTTTTTGATGAAGTAATTATAACTTTTTTATAAAATTAATGCGTTATTTGTTTCGCTTTAAAATGGCTGCAACGGTAATGTTTTCATACAAACGTATTTGCGCGAAATTTGGATTTTGTACTTTAAACACTTACATTCTCTCTTCTCGTTGATGTCATAATCTTAGTACAGAGTACTAAAAAAACCGACCTCAAAAATTCGTGGAATTACATAATTGGCCAAGTTTTATTGAAATCGGTTACCGGAAAGTGAGCGAAACCGAATTCATCCCCTAGTTGGCCACCCTTAGATATGGGATATTTTCTTCAAATTTAAATATGACCAATACTGAAGTATCCTCTTTACAACAAAAAAAGAATCATCAAAATCGCTTCACAAATGCCATAGCAATCGCGTAACATCACACAAAAAAAAATTAAGTCGAAATGAGAACCTCCTCATTTTTTTTTTTTTGAAGTCGGTTAAAAACATCATTATTTTATTTATAATATTGTAAGTCAATGTTTATAATATTATTTTAAATTCAATTTTAAAACTTAAACTTAAAACCACAAATTTAAATTAAGATTGAATTGAATTTTTTTTTCGGATTTTTTAGCAGATTAATAAATAGTCAAAATTTTTAACGTTTGTTTTTAGCTTCAAGTCAAAGTCAAAGAAAGAGTCATTTATTCCATAGCTAAAACATATTTATTTTGACGACGTCCCATTTACTAATACTCATGTGCTACTGCTCGTTCACTACGCTGACTTCCCTGAGAAAAACGAGCAAGAAACTCTACGGATTGCTCTTTTCCAATAGACTTAAATGCTATGGAATGCACTTTGAATCAAATTTGTGTTTAATCTAGAGCCATGTCGTCTTTCCATCTAGCACGTAGTCTTCAATGACTTCTCAATCAAAATATTTTTAAAGTAGTTTTATTTTGTAGCTTATCTGAATCAAAGCATCACTATGCAATAAACAGGGCAACATTATTTTTGAAAATAGCAGTAATAAAGCTCCTTGTGAAAGAGTTCGTCCGGGGAAGTACTACCCTATCTGTTTCTGCAGCCAAGCAGCAGTACTGGTGAAATTACAGGCACATGGGACTTGTAATCTCATGTCTCAGGGTGACAGGCGCAGTGGAAGTGTCCATCCGATCTTTGCCATTTAAATATCTGAGTACACAGCAACTGTTATAGAAAAAAACATATCGGATACAACCAGGCGCACGACTTTGCAAAATATCATAAAAAAACATTAGTAGCTATCAGATTGCTTATCTCCAATTAAAAAGTCGACTATATTTGGCGAAGCCCAAGCCCCCAAAAATCAACAGTTAGATGAATGTTAAGGCATGCTTATCATAATGCAAAACCCAAGCCATGTTATATTTGAAAATTAATCCGTAAATATAATCCTTATAAACCATTTTATGTTTATAAAAGGGATTATTATCGGAATCGGTATTCATCTGTTCCGGGAGACGAAGAATAAACTTCTCGGATCATTGGATCAATCAAACATCCCGTGGAGATATTTGAGGAAATCCGGATAAATTATAAAATATTTTTCTATACATTTGTATGAATGTAATATTCCTCTTATGTATTTCTTATAATATTGACATAATTGAGGAAATATGTGTCAACTCAATCGTCATTATTAATCTAGAGTTTTCCTTATTTTTACGGCAACACAAGCTGCACAAAATGACATATAGAAACAATATTTAGTAGTAGCAGAGCTCCTTGTGATAGAGTTCGTCCTGGGAAGTATTGCCTGCCTCCAGGCAGTAACGTTACTTACGTTACTGCCTTGAAAACCGAAACGCAGGTTCCTGGGTACGGTGACGGGTGCATTGGCAGTGCCCTTGAGAGCTTTGCTATTTATACCTTCGTTCGAGTGACACGGTGGTTACGACTATAAAAAAAATCTACTAAAGAATGTATTCATTTTGATACGTTTATGTCGTTGTATTTCTTTCTATTTTGAAACAAAATTGTCATATAAATTTCTACACATCAACTACTTTCTAATTATCTCCACTGAGTCGATATATTAACTAGATGCAACTAGGCTATTAAGTAGGAAGTTATCAAATAATTAATTTAAAAAACATAAAAACGAGATTGTGGTGATGATTTTCATATAAATAATCAAAGAATCTGACGTCAAATAGTCAAAAAGCACTAATAGAGAATTAAACTGTGGTTGAAATTCAAAACTGATGAAACTTTCCTGTCATCTCCGAAATTGGAAGGCAATTTTCAACGCAAAAATATTCCATTTTATTCTGTTTTCCGAGAGAATCATCTTTCTAAATACGAAACTTCTTTAGTAACTGGGAGTTTGCAACTCGATGTCTACAAATTTTGCTTACATTATGCGGTTAAATAAATGTATTTTAACTTGTCAGCGAGCGCCATTGCGCGCGCGATATTTCCGCTGTAAATTACACAGCTAAACACAAGAACACAACATTCAACTGTAGTTAAGACGAATTTTAGTACAACATTCTGCAAAGTGTACAGCATTCATAGATTTATGGGCCTCATTCATTGCCTAATATGTTAGGTACTAGGCGTGTTAGTCGACTGTCGGATGAATTAATGCTACAGTCAATATTTACTGCCAACATGTCAACCGACATTTTTTACGCAAAGTATCAATATGTCGGCTGATATTTCGGATATCTTGCATTCATGGTGAGGTACGATAGAGCGAACCGGTTTCAGGCGCTCAACATCGTAGCATCCATTTTACGGTTTTTTATACTTATACAAGCGGTAGTGGTAAGCGACACAATTGTCCCTCAGAACATTAAAGCCCGTCACCCTGAGACATAAGTTCACAAGTCCCATGTGCCTGTAATTTCACCAGCACCCATGCCCTTCAAAACCTGAATGTATTAATGTGAGCGTCACTGCTTGGCGGCAGAAATAGATAAGGTGGCAGTACTACCCTGGGCAAACCCTTTCACAAGGAGCTCTACTGCTACTTAACGTGAACATGCAGGTTGCGTTATTGGCTAACACGGCCAAACATGTTCGGTAATAAATCAAGCGGTTTGTAGACTTGTGGACTAGTCTATGTAACACATAAACTTTGCAGAATGCTGCGTTAAAACACAATGAACGTCTTCTTAACTTTTGCAATAATGACGATTTAGAAATCCCGAAATGTCAGCAACCACATTTCGTTTAATACAAAAGTTGGCATTTTCCCCTGTGGTTGTGAGCTTGACGTAGAATTACTTTATGGTTAGGTCCCATTATAATAATAACAGGCCCACTCTGAAGACCATTAGGTACATTTATATTTTGGACACAGATTTATTTACACACTTGGCTTTGTTTTAACATTTTCTTCCTTAATTATACACCGTGAAACGTTTAATAAAACTACGAAACGCTTTCGTAAATACGTATATTGCTCTTAAAAATACTTTTTCTTTCATGCACATTTTGCTCCACATGTGCTCACAATAGAATGTATGATAATGAACATTTTATTTTACTTTTACAATAGGCGAATAAAAGTCAAATTACCAATTGGAAGCCAATCGATGGCTCCTGATTGGAGTAATATTGATTTTTTTTTCGTTTCATGAAATCGAAAAAAAAACCATTAATATATAAGTCTACCGGAACTGCGGATAAAAAAAAACCTTAAACTAAAATATTACGAAAAAACTTGCCTGTACCTCTGTGACCAACGGGTTTCATTAAATGTTTTTAAATAAGATTTTATAAAATGAGTTTTTTATTAATATTTAATAATTTAAGGAATAAATTTGTGAATGCCAAGAGATGTTATATGGTGAAAATTAAAAAAAATCCGAGAAACGCTCTCTGTATATACTATTATATACTACGATGTACCTAGTTTCTCTAGTAATACGTGTATAGAAAAAAACAATACTATGTGAAATTTTATTCTCTACTTAGGAATTTGCCGCAGCAAACGCATATTGTCACAGTGTACGTCCTATTCTATTGTAGTGAATATAAAATTTCACCCGTATTCCAAACATTGGCTTCAAAGAAGGCTATGTATTATATTTTAATGGTATCGGAGAATCTTAGTAGTTTTAAGTGTATAATCGACGTGTAGAGTGCCATATTTTTTTTATCAAGCGTTTAGCGTAGAAATTATAGAACACCTTGTATATTACTTTGTCCAGTTTAATGTTGCTAAATCAATGCCAAAAAATGTAAATGTATAAAAATTATGTTAACTAAGTAAACTTTGTTAACATTAACTGTAAAAATGTTAGAAATTAAAAATGTTGTACTATATTTGATCTTGGAATAAATGGGAAATAAATCGAAAACACTTGTGTTTATTTTATTTTGAAATGACAATTTTAAGTACGAATTGAAATTTTATTCCATTTCTCAACTATCCCACGGCTATGCAACACGGATGGAAAGTACTTTAAATATTGTGGATATTTTCGGAGTCTTCATGAAGACATTATTTTTCTTTAAAAATTAATATAGCGTTCAAAGATTTTTTTAAAGTTTATTGCTTCATCTGGGAACCAACCGACCAAATATGAAAAAAATCCTGTATTTTTATGATATGGATCGATCAATTATAAAGATTAATTTCCTTTAAGTAACATAGTATCTTACATAAAAGGAACACCGTTCTATTATACAGTTAAAAAAAAAACAAAGTTGAAACTGCTAATGTATCTACATTATTTGCAATTAATTTATCAGATGTTCAAAATGTGTTCCATTTTCTTTTATGCAAACACTATCTTTTGATAAATACGTTGCCTTTTTTTCACATCATTAGGTTATATTCCTAGATGAGGCAAGTAACTTTTTAAGTTTTTGAATGCAGCATTAGGTACTTACTTTTAAAATAAAATAATCTCTCCATGAGACAAAACTATATCCAATCTACAATATTTAAAGTACTTTGTGAGTGAGACACCTGTATAATTTTCCGAGAAACTTAAATGCTCTGAAATAAATACCTAATTCTTAGAAATTGTAATTGCTGGAATCTCGCCTAAATTACAATTTCATTGTGATATATTTTCAACAGGACTAAAGATATAAGCGTTTTTTATTCAAGAAACCAAATACATTTTATATCTTTTTCCCCCCCACAGAGGTTTAAAAATTGAGTGTAACGTGTAATTAACCACCACCACCACGTGGGCGCGTAGCGTTAACTTTTCTCCTATGTAATAATTAAAATATAAGTTACAAAATACTTTCTTATAAATGTTTCTAAAATACGTAATACAAAATAACTATGAGATGTATTGACAATATAATATAAAAATACAATATTTTGACCTCAGTTACTTTAAATACGTAATAAAATTATACCTATATCCAGACACCGCGAAAACATTTGAGAAAATATCAATTACTAAATATTTTTTCTATCGGTATTTGAAATAGTAATTAACAAAATATGTTTTTAGGTAGTGAGGTAATTGATATACAAAATACGTTCCATGTAATCAGTAGTGCTGGTGGCAATTGCGTACCATCGCGTAATTCAAATTAGAAAATTATTAAATAATACCTACTTACATTGACTTTTACTTACTAATAATAATGTCCTTTTATCATTTATACTTATATTCCTTCCAAATGACGTTATAATAATAAGCTGAAATCACCTTTAGCCCCATCTATAAAAATATCGTTGAAGCATCATGGCTTTGAACTTGAAACAACTCTGACAACCGAGGTCATCAAACACAACCGACTAGTTCACATAGATGGCGCTTTACAGGATAAAATTGTCTGCCAGCAAGCATGTCACGCCCAATTTTAGCTAATTATCAGACGATTTCATGATATTGTGAAATAGAAACCATTTGCCCGACATACCACTACTATTTTCAATTCATCACAATAAGAAAATTACTTTTATTTGCAAAATTTTCCTTGCAAAATAATAACGCAATGAGAAAATGACGTATGGCGTATTTCAAGTTTCAACAAACTCTGCAGTTCGCAGGCTGTCTCACTCGCACATGCGCCTTCGATCGGCGCAAAAGAGGGAGATAGAAGAAAATAATGAATTAACTTGTAGTAGAACGGGATTTCGTATCAGCTGACAACCAAAGCAAAACAGTCGGTCCGCGACCATCTTGTCAAAACTGGAGTCGGTGACAACAAAATAAAATATTGTAAAATGTCCTAAATCGCTTGTAATGACATAACTTTAGTTTTGTATTAGTGAAAGTATTGTGTATAGTTCTCGTCGGTGTTATTTTCGACTCGTTCACTATACATTTTTGCTCAATAATTCGGGTTTTTGTTGCGTCAAATGACGTCATGTATGTGATTATACACGTATCGCTGCTGACGAGTTTGTAAGTATTTTCTTTTATTTCTTTGCTAATTGTATTATTAGTGGATATTTCGAGTAGTTTCCCATTGGTGTCGGGTGGTGTTTTCATTCATGAATCGTTAGTAAACCGGAGAGGAAGAGGCCCGTCTGGTTTCCATACGCGACGCTTCGGTACAAGTTTTGCGATGCCCTTGAAAATTATGCAGCAAAAATTCGCGTTCTCATCAAACTGATGAAGTATTATCGATAGTGCTGGTGGCAGTTGTGTACCATCAGTTCACGTTCCATACATAATTAGGTGTATAAGGTCATGATTACCTTCCATATTTTCACTTAGCAACAATCGCGCACTTGACTAAAAATGGAACGCTCTCGACTAATAGAAAGTGTTTTGTGTATGAAACAATGATTATAATGTAGATGTCGAACGTGTATTATTGTGTTACTGAAAATGGCCGCTGTATTATCGTGTTTGCGTTGATATTTGTGCGGGGCACGGGTATATATCTACCTACATGCCGTCCATATTTTTTAGTAGCGCTCGCTTTCGAGTCAACTTTGTAAACACGAGATAGGCTAGAAGCTAACGCGATATAAATTCTCGACACAGTTACATCGGTCGAACATACTGATTTTTTAATATTGAGCATAGCGAGCAAACAATACATTATTTACCTGTAGCCTACTTATTAATGTATATCTGTTAATGTAGTGTCGATACACCAACGTAGGCACCTACTACCTACATGACATGTAATAAATGCGGTAGGAATGAATAACCGATATCATATTAAGAACAATAGACACGTATTGGATGTAGATTGCACATTTTTTCACTACAATTTTATATCAGAAACATGTAAAGATGAATATCTTTACAAACTGGCACGTAATGGCGTACATTTTGTATTACCTACTGTACAAATATATTTTTGCGATTCCGATGTATTCAACATTGTGGTGGCAGGGTGATGAATGCAGAAATAACTTGTGTATAGAGAATAAGACGAAATGTGGTGGTAATTCCCCTTGAAAAGAATTTCATGCCTTTCGCAATATTTATGTTATCCACAGAGGTTGATGCATGATTAGATGTATCTTGGTCAGGTCTTGTGTGTGACGTTTTCCATTATTCTTTATTTCTATACGTCAATTAATCATAATTATGAGGTAGAAAAAATTAACAACAGTGCGAACGGTTTGAGGAGTGGGAAGAACTAGTGTAATCACAGGAGACTTAACATCTTATATCCCACGGCCGGCAACGTATTTGCGATGTCAAGAATGGTACTTGTTTATATGCGGCGGTTGCCGCTTTCCATCAGGCCGTCTGCTTGTCGATTGGAATACCTACCATAACTAAAAAACTAATTTGTTAGGGCAACCTTGACATTAACAGTTCATAGACAAACTACGTTTAGAAACGAATGTCTTTTATTTAAGACAAAGACATTGAAGCGAGTCCTGCGTTATATAATAAATGTGTAACCACAGAATTTGAAAACGTTCTACATAATTATGTAGGTATAATTATAATTTCACAAAGTATTACTAGAGTTTCAGAACACAATCAATACTCCTTCTACAACTTTGATATTCATCAACTTGACACATTGGATCCTTATCGCAAGTGGCACAGAGTTGAATTTAATTCGTAAGTGTAAAGATTGACGTGCTCTAGATATTACTGTACTTTGTGTTTGCTTTAATAAAATTTTATATAAGTAATTTGTTATTTCTGCGTAATAAGTTCTTGGCCTAGAATAAAACATCCATTTTAATACCTATATACTTAGTTACTTTTGAGACAAGATATGAATCGCTTAGATTATGTATATTTTACTTATGCATTCACGAAATGTCTACGATGTAATTATGTAACATAATATTTCCATCATATACTCATAACTTCCAAATATAGCTATTTAAATTTGTTCTCATGTACACGGGTCTTGTTTACTTTCTAAGCAACTGACTGCCGTTTTACTGAGCATTTTGTGCACTTTCAACTATAGTTATTTATGTCTAACATGCCATCACAATCCTCGTGCCCTTGTCTTATGTAATGTACATAATTTGGAAACAATGTTCGAAAACGGTTCTATTGCTTTTTTTACCAACTTCTAAGTTCAATTAATGAACTGTGCGATCGTGGACTGTCCGCATTTTGAGTCTGATCTATAATGACCGTCCATCCATTGTAGGTGTCAACGCTTGTATAGCAATCGACCAATATGACATACTTGTGACGAAATATAAAAATAAGCAGAAATGTCTAAACCAGGTTTTACAGAAGGTTTATAGTGTTGAACTCGCCAGCGACCGTATTTTTTTCATTTAATTTTTTAACTATAAATGTAGCAGTTAGACACCGATGGCCTTGACTGCGCTACCGGACATAACTGCGAATTAATGGCACTTAGCCTATATTATAAGTTATAAGCTAAGAAGCGAATTCTGATTCACAGATCTGCGCTCAAGACGCTACTAGAGATTTCTGCTAGGAAAGCGTTCTACACAAGAGAGTGAGCCCGGAATGTGACAATACCGCGAGTACACACTGAGCTAGGCTCATCCTCGACGAGGTCCGTGTGAGAAACCGACTTGTATGACAATCATGACCTCTAGCGATCACAATAAGAACTACAATTTACCATACAAATGTTTTACACCATGACTAGGTTTATCAGCACTATAAAGTCTTGGTACAGATACAGATCGCTATTCAAGTCCAGGGGGTCTACACTCGAACTCCGTCCGACATCCGTCCGAAACAATTACTGTCAAATAAGTAATATTCGACAAAATTAAAAGACAAGTATCAAGTATGAAGCTTCATTCGCATCACGCGTCTTTTCATTCCTTTATCATTCTTCATTCCTAGTGTAGCGTCACTAGGTTGAAACGTGTTTATCAGAGTTCATTCATCAAACCAATGGAGTCCAATGATATTGGATCATTGTAAATCTGTCTCAAGGTAGATTTCCAGTAACGCGGCAGTACCATCTGCCCGACATCTTAGTACATTAGCCCCAGATCAGGCAGTGTACAGTGTTGTCACTGACTTCACCTGGTTCTCAAGCGGCTAGTGCCTCGGCTGAGCCGCCCCGGGTGCACGTACAGTACTCTCCCTATTTTCCAGGTAGGTACCTAGGCTGTAAGCAGGTTCACGTTCACTTTTAGTTTTAGGCGCGTTCCCGTTATGTCGTAACGATTTTTTTATCGTTAGACGACTGTTGCGTCTAGCCTGTACCCATATCACGACAATCTGTCGTGACTGTGTCGTGGACGTTTATTTTATCGTTGAACAACTGTCGTGTCTAGTTGTTCCCGCTAGATTGTGACGACAATTTATCGGTTCACGACAGCCGCCTTGTCGTTTGCACGACAAAAACGTTTTTGTGAATATGAAATTTTTATCCTGTCGTTTTATTTACCGTCTGACGACTGTTGTTCTAGCACTTCCCATTGTCACGACAGTCTGTCGTTGTAACGTCAAAAAAGTTAAACGTGTTGTACTATATGTGAACTTCATTTAAATATACAAGCTTACAAGCCAATAAATTGCACGACTATCTATCGTCACGGCATAATGGGAACTCGCCCCAACGGTTGCTACCGCTTAACCTTTGACTCTAGAGTCCACTACCAAATCTCCTCTTTGGTGGCGGAGCTGTAAGGTCGGCAGTACCATTGGTGGAGTAACAGCGAGACGGCACTGTGTGCGTTGGAATAAAACGTTCACCTTCCCACGGCCTCATCAACCTACTTGGTTATACGGGCCGAATCTTGGTGCTCGGATTTCTATCTAACACGCAAATAACTCCCTCTAATTTCATAAGTTTCCTTGAAGCATATGTCTGACGGAAATGTGTGAAACACTCTTCGAAAGCTGTTTCCCTGACGCGTCATCGGGTATTTTCATTTCCGTAACGCGTAAAGGAACTGCCGCACTGCCACGACGTCACTACCTCGTCTAAAGTCTACCTTTAACCACCCTGCGACCGCCACCGCTAAAATTCAACCTACGTGAGGTTATTTGCAATCTATACGTGTTTACGTAGCTATCTAGTCTATAGTATCGCATAACTGATGGTAATGACAATGACCTTGAAATGAAGAATGACATCGCTTCTGGCGATAAAATCGCCAGTTGGCACATTATTCATTAAGTTGCGATCACGCAGGTTGACATGTGCCAAAACTATTGTGTACTTAGACGAGAAAGTTTCGCAGCGGTGACGTTTAAGTTCCTACTTGTAATTAACTGAAACTTAAGCAGTCTCTATACAACCCCAAATGGCTTTGGTTGGTTCCGCATAACAATGGAAGTGTTGAATCAATCACTTTAGAAAAAATATATAGCAAAATTGATGATATACACTGATTACTATACAGTGTGATTGCTAAAAATTTCAATTAAAACTTACGTCGAAATTTTACAAGAAAACCGCTGCATTCAATGGGTGCTTTATATATACCAATGATTTTTTTTATATCAACTGAACTAAATAGAACACGTATAAGACACGATATACATTTAGCAAATAGCTTTAATTTCGTATGTAAAAAAATAAATTATTAAATAAAGCCAGGGTCCCTGCCGCTCGACACGCACTATAGAACCGATTCAGTAGGAGAAAAATTTGAATTTGGGGTAATTAGTATTGGCTTTTAATATCACTGTTTTGTTTCTTCATAATTTCCTTTTGTTTTATAATTCAAAGGGAATTTAACGGTAAGGCACGACATTTACGCTACCAATTATATGTTATTTATTTATTTATTTAAAATGCAAGTCACAACGACACGCGTTCCATTAGGTAAGCACTTATTGCTATGACACCCCGTAGGGGTATGTCACTTTTAGGGTTACAGTATTTATTAGATATTATTAGATTAAAATAATGTGTCAATTATCCATCGTCAGTCTTCGTCAAATACATAAAATAACATAACAACATAATTTAATCAAACACCTACGTAAGTTTGTCAAAATTAAATTCATGTACGTTATAATAG